CTGTAATTCTAGAGAAGAGAAGCACTCCAGGTAGAGATTAGGATGATTTAGTATCTGATAGTACGATTCTGGAAGTCGAAGAAGAATGTACAACTTAGAAATTAACAGAAAAGATAATAGGAAAGCAAAACACTGCTAAGGTTTAGAAAACTTCAAACCTGAAGCTTGCAGTGTCACTGCATTCAAATGGAATTCAAATGTTTTTTCATTAGACAGTGAGGAAGCCAGGTGTGGTCATGCACAGTAATCTCAGCAGTGTGACTGAGACAGCAGAGTCACAAATTTGAGCCCCGCCCAGGTAATTTAGCAACTCAGTGAGATCTTGTCTCAAAATAAAATGCGTGTATATATGTATGTATCTGTTATTGTTATTGTTGTTGTTGTTTTCCTTTGAGTCAGGGTCTCACTGTGTAGCCCAAGCAGGCCTTGAACTCTTGAGGTGGTCCTCTTGCCTCAGCCTGCCTAGTGATACTGCAGGGGCCATGATCCCCAGTGCTGGAGGGGAAAAATGAAGGAAGAAGGATCTAAGAAGCAGAACCAGACCTGAGTGTGGGGGCACCCTGTAATCACAGCATCCTGGGAGGCCGACAGAACAATTGCAAGTTCAAGCCCACCCTGGGCAAGTTAATGAGATCCTGTCTAAAAAAACAAAAGAATTTTAAATTTAAAAGCAGTGGCTGATGTATGAAGGCTCTGAGAAAGGGGGGGGTGAAACTAAGGGAACTGGTACCACAGCACAAAGAAGGTTAGAGTGGAAAAGACAGCTAATCGTGTCAGATGCTTTATGTTTTTAAATTGTTACCAGTTGAGTATTACTAAAGGCATATTTCTGTAAATTTGCCTGCTCTACACATTGCATAGAAATGGAATCAGACAGTATGTGACTTTTTGTGTTTGTCTTCTTTCACAAAGTACACACTATTTTCATGATCCTGTTGTGCCATGTACCAGTACCTCATTCTTTTTTATTGCTGACTAATAGCCCATTGTGTGGATATACCACACTTTGTGTATCGTTCATCTCCTAATGGATATGTAGGCTTTTTGTGCTTTTTTACTGTTAGAATCATGCTGCTATGAATATATGTGTACAAGCTTTTGTGTGTTTTCATTTCTCTTACATAGAGTATAATTGCTGGGTCTTGTGGTAACATTTTCTAGCACTGTCACACTTTCCCAGAGGGTTGTACCATTTTACAATGCTCTTGGCAGTATATGAAGATTTCAGTTTTTCTAAATTGTCAACACTTGTTACTGTCTTTTTTTTAGACATTCTAGTGGGATCAGGTCATAACTCATTTTAGTTTTGATCTGTACTCTCCTCTATACGGACACTGCACATTTCCTTATGTACATGTGGACCATTTCTTTGTGTCTCTTCCTTGGAGAAATGTCTGTTCAGGTGCTTTGTCCATTTCTTGTTGGTCATTCGTCTCTTTATTTTAGAGTTACAGGGGTTCTTTATTTATTCTGAGTCAAAGTCCCTTAACACACACATGATTTGCAAAATTTCTCCTGTGGATCGACTTTTTACTACTTGATTGTATTCTTTTAAGTATAAAAGTTTTAAATTTTTTATGAATTCATTTTATCCATTTGGTCTTCTGTCACTTGTACTTTTGGTATCATGTCCAAGAATGTGATTCCTAATCAAGAGTCATGAGGATTACTTCTTATTGTCTCATCTTTTTTTTTTTTTTAAGGAAAAAAAAAAAACAGAAAAAGGGTACAAGTTATACAGAATTTCAGAAAAATAAACAGTAGGAAATCACTAGTTAATTACATATTTTCATCTTAGAAATAGTTGTTGAAGTTACAAAATTAAAGCATATAGAGGGGACTTTCAAACAGTGAGACTGCAAACAGTTTTGTTCAGTGATCCAACAAAACTCAGTAATATGATTATCTATCTTATACACTTAAATATATATGCAGTTATATCTTTTAGAGAACTTTCTTTTCCTTTCTTTTGTACAATGACAATTACACATTTTGGGTTTTATTACTCCTACAGTTCTTATTACTTTTTTTTTTTTTTTTTGAAGAAAGTAAAACCAAATGTGACATACCAGGACAGAGTCAGTCAAATCAAAAGGATGGACATAATACATAATGTAAAAAGAAAATACAAGGTGATAAACAATGGTTACCATAATGCCTCTTGTTATCTTAAAAAGAATTGCCTATATCATCAGTTGTAATAAAATTGAACAAAACAGTAAAGAATAAGACCAATAAAACCAAAACATTGGAGACATTAGAGGACTTCAAAAGAAGATAATAGTCAACCAGAATGGGCATCACAGTGAATCTTATTGTCTTCATAGTTGTTGCCTATACTTTCAAACTTGGTACTATCAAGCATAACAGAATGGAGGAAAATCAGTCAAAACAAGATGGTGAGAGCAATACAGAGTTTCAAATCAAGCTAATAGGAAATCAAAGTGGGTTACTATAATATATCCTGCTATTTTTTATTTATTTTTCCCTTAATTAAAAGGATAAAAATGAAAAAGTAGATAATAAAAAGGAGATTGAGATTAAAAAAAGAGGGCATAACAACAAAACAGCGCAGGTCAAAACATAGCCATTTAAGCAAAATAGTGTTTCACCACAAGATAATTTCAACATAATAGTAGTTACCATAGTGTCTCTTCCCTTAAAATCTTTGGGTATAACTTCGTATACTGTAGCATCAAGCATATCAAGACAATGTAAAACCGTTCAAGAGAATGACAGTATTACAGGGTATTTAGAATCAACTAACAGAAAATGAACAATGGTTTCTGTATAATCTCCTTGTCTATAAAAGTTTTTGTTTCTATTATCACATATAATAAAATCCAATTAAGATACAACACGTTAAAACCGATGGAGACAGAAGAACAAAAGCTTGATGGGACTTCAAAACAAGAGGATATTAAATCAGCACTACCTATTATGATGTTTTGTTTTCTCCAAAATGGCTGTTCCTACCATCCAACCTTCTCTGCCTCATTTCTGTTGAGCTCTTTTTCTGTCATTAGTTGTCAGTTTGTCCTCTTAATTTTGCTTTCTGCTCCATTCATTGTGGCCACTCTGCCACTGTTTCTGGAATCTTAGTATTTTTCATTTTTAGAATATCCTGCAGTAATCTCTGTAGAGTTGAATTGGTGGTTGCAAATTCCCCTAGTTCCTCTTTATCCTGGAAGCACCTTGTTTTTCCATCAATTTCTAGGGGCAGTTGTGCAGGATATATCAATCTTGGCTGGAGGTTATTATCTTTCAAAGCTTGAATTATTTCCCCCCACGCTCTTTGTGATTTGATGGTTTGTGCCGAGAAATCTGCTGTAATTCTGATGGGTGTTCCCTTCTAAGTGATTTGTTTCTTGTCTTTGATGGCTTTTAATATTCTGTTCTTATATTGGATTTCTGGAATTTTGATTATTATATGCCTGGGTGTAGGTCTGTTTGGGTTGTAGGTGGCTGGGGTCCTGTATGCCCCATACATCTGAGTATCTTTACCTTTTGCTAAATTAGGGAAATTCTCCTGGATTATTTCTGTGAATAGCTTTTGTAGTACATTTGTTTGAGTCCCTACTTCTTCTTTTATATTGTCTCATCTTTTTAATAGATCTTTGTCCACCTGTGAAACTAAAGTCTTCTAAGCCTGCAGTCGGGTCTTTTCACCACTCACTTTTATTTACCAAATAACCTCCCTCTTTAGTTACTCTTGTTCAGTGAAACTGCAGCTAAACACGTTGTCTTCACCAAGTGCTGTGCTAGATTTTATGCATAACATGAAATAAAAATGATACTGTCTTATATCCTGATGTTGGGGACGTAAAGTTGTAAATGTAACTTGTACCTTGCAATCTAGAAGTGCTGTTACGGCAGATCTTTGAAAAAAAAGTAAAGCCACTTTAAGTGACCCGTGATTTAATTAAAACTTCTTATGGACTTGTCAATTTCTGATTAAGCGTGCATTTGTATGAAATGGAATGACAAAATTATGGCACTATGCTTTTTCTTATAAATGATAATTTTTTTATTGAGTTGCTCAGGCTGGCCTTGAACTTACAGTCCTCCTGCCTCAGCCTCCTAAATAGCTGAGATTAAAGGCAGGTGCCACTACACCTTGCAACTTTCTCAGATTTTGATCTCCATGGGCTAGAATCCAGTCCCTACCATCTCCCACAAATACCAGGGGATAACAGTGGTGATCATACCTTGGGAACATCCTTTGGTAGGGCTAGTGCTTAGGACCAGGCCTGCTTTTGGGAGCTTCTCTGTATTCAGGTGAGCAGTGGAAAGCATTGGTGCTGGTAGACAAAGCACAGCCACATACTGTACCACTGGCTTCCTGCTGTGTTTCTCTACTGTTACTCCGGTAGAACTGGCCTAAAATCTGCACAGAGAAGGGGCAGAGACTCAGCTGGTCTACAGACAACTGAGGCTTTTCTTCGTCCTAAAGGAAACCATTCCCTGGGCTTCCTGTCCCTGACCTTTTCTGTCCCTGGCCTTTCAGGCTGGCTAAATGGATTCCACCTCCACATAAACCTGTTTTGATGTAATTCAGTACTGACCCAAAATTGATGTATGTATGGCCCCTGTTCTGCTTAGCTGAGACTGATAGACTCTGTAAGGTTCCAGGCACTGAGTTCCATACTGTGCTAGAAAAGGGGTTGCAATCATGTGGTCCTGAAACTCATTTTCCCACCCAGTTTGCAGAAACCCGCCCGGGGCCCAGCCTCTTCGAACAGACCCCTCCGTGGTTCCAGTGCTGCGACCTGCCAGCATCCACATCCACGGGACTGACCTCAGGCTGCTGGTCTCTGCGGCCTCCTCCCTTCAGGGACTCAGGATTCCCCTCCCAGCCTCCCTGCCCCGCCCTGAAGCGAGCCTGGAATCCTAGTGAGAGGAAAAAGCTGAAAAGGAAGTCATTCAGAGTGGGCAAAAAGAGGAGGGATCTAAAAGGAAAGGCCTAAGGAAGGCAGGAAGGAAGCTCCCGGGCCCTGCCCAGGCTTCTTCCCCAACACTCCCAAGGACAGGAAAGGAGCTAGACCCAGCTCTCCCTGTTTTTCCCTTGCTATCTTAAGAGTCTCCATCTCCAGCACGCAGTGCCCTGTGTGGCGAACTCTTCTCCATCCTCCTGGCTCCCTGCGCTAACAGGCCCGCGGGGACCGACAGGAGGGAGACTGAGTAGCGGTACTGTGGGCATGCCTGCTCCTTTCCCTTCCCCCTTCCCTGAGCAGCAACGTCACCGCAGCACCAGCAGCCGGCGCGGCTGCAGCCTGGAGACAGGCTGGGATTGCGCAGCCGCCCTGCGTTAGCTAGGATGCCATTGTATTAGCAGAAATCAGATCTTAGGGAGTCGGCCCACTATCCCCAGTGTGGTCCTGTGGAGCAGTGCCTCAGCTGGAGCTGTCAAGGTGAGCGCTGTGGGCGTGCAAAAGGAGCGGGAGCCTTCAGCTTCAGTTTAGGGCTCCTCTCAGAGGTAGGGCATCGCGGCAGGGGGAGGGGCGGGGCGCAGCCGAGGGAGGCTCCCAGCTGGGAGTTTGGGCCCAGGCTCTTGAGGGCCGGCTTTGTCTTTCTGAAAGAGGGAGAGCGGGAGAGAGGCTGCGTAGACAGGCTCATCCAAGCATTTGGCTGTGATGCCAGGAGGGGGAAAAGCAAAGACCTGGCTCGTGGCTGTCTATGCTAACTTGTCAAGAAGCAGAAGAGCCTTTGTGGGCATTTCTGACAAGGCGGTTGTAGGTTCTGTAGTCAGGATGGAAGGGGTCAGATCTAGAAACAGAGGCCCCCTGGAGGAGACACCTTTAAGGCCACTGTGAGTTTATGATGAAGACCTTGCAGAGATCCACACAGCTTTCAGGAGCTGCTGGGCAGCCTCTCCCTCTGCACACAGGCACAGATGCATGCTCACAGACATGCTCACTGGATCTGCTGCTGCTTGTGGGAGCCGCGGGCTGCCCATTAGCATGGAATAAGAGTGTAGACCAAGATGTCCTGCAGTAGAGGGGGGAGGGTGTCAGTGTAAGGCCAAGAGCCCCTGCCTGTTGTAATCAGCCTCCTTACACGACTTAGCTTCCTAGCAGGAGAACTGAGCAAGCTAAGCTACCACTTCCACATCCCTCCTCTTCCCGTCAGACCTGGCATAGAGGAACCGCAGTCAGGAAAGGGCGGTCAGTCCCGAAGACTCCTCACCAGGAGCTCAAGTCAAGGTCAGCTTTCTGTAGAATAGACACTGAGTGCCACTGCCTTCCCTGTCTCCTTCCAGGAGGCTGGAAAGAGAGGGAATGGATTCTGTGACTAGCAGAACATCGATGTCCAGAGGCAGGAGAAGCTTTCCTGTGGAATTTACCTGCCCAGAGTTCCTGTTGCTAAGCAGTATTAAAAGTTCCCACTTTCATTCAGCCACCTGGGTAGGAGACTGAAAAGCACGATAATGAGGAGCGTACTTCTGCAAGTGTGTGGTCAAAGGGTACAGTGGAAAGTTGTGGAAGTGGGTTAGTTCCCAGGGAGCGTCGGGGATAACCACGAAGCAGAGGAAAGGGCTTGGGAACCGTGAACGGGCGGGCGGGGACATGAGGGCTGATTAGAGAGGCAGGAGGCAGGACTTGTGAATGTCATGAGAGCCTCGGGATGGTGGGTTTGGAGAATTGTGTTTTCACCGTATAAATGGAAGCCGAAGAATGGAAAGGTAGGAAACAGCTGCTCTGAGCAGCAGGGTAATCATAGGGAAGACAGTGTGGCCTATCAGTTTTCTTTTGAAGGCTATTATAATGGACAAAGTAGAAAATCGGGCAAACCTGGGTTAAAATCCCATCTCAGATGTGTAACAGTGGGCTTATCATTTTATACTCTAAGCTGTCTACTCTGCTGTAAAATGGGAATGAAAACGATGCAGTAAAACTGAAGATGTATGTACATCTGTCCCATAAGGGTCCAGTAAGTGATCACTGATAAACAGCGTTGTGATGATGACCCTAGAAATACTCGTCACTACGTCACACTGGCTGAACCCTCTGTACCCTTTGCACGGCTGCATATGCTGCAGACATGGCCAGAGGGCACATCCTGCAGGAGGGCTTCCCACTGTGTTCTCACCCTGAGTCTGCTGCTGCTTCCCCACCTCATCTTCCCTGTCGCTCCATTTAATGAGGGTACAGAGAGAGTCCAGCGTGAACTCTTCTCAGTGTTTCTCTTCCTTTTTACAGAGCTGGTGGACTATCATATAGCATCATATGTCTTGATAAAGGACAACTCATGCCTAGGAAAAAGTCTTAGATATGCTTTCAGTATATGTTTTTAAATCAAGTCAAAAGCATAATATTCTGTCAGTAGTTGGGGGTCAGGGACTGCTGGGGATTGAACCCAGGGCTTTTGCACTAAGCTTATTCCCAGCTCTTTTGAGACAGGCTCTTGCAAAATTGCTAAATTGCCCAAGCCGTGCTCAAACTTGTGATCTGTCTACTTCATTCCTCCCAGAATGCTGGGATTACAGGCATGTCCTACCATGCTCAGCCTCTCTTTGCTCTCTTAACTGATGAAGAAAATTTTGAAAATTAGAATTCCTAGGCTTCATCTAATTCTGTGATTCATTCACTGAGTGGTGCAATAATTTCACTTTCCTGGGTGTCATCTTTTTTGGCTGGGGACATATCAGGAATCAAACTTAGGACCTTGTTCTTGCCTGGTAGGCGCTTATGACAGTGAGCTACATCCCCAGCCACTTTTCTTATTTAAAAAAAAGTAAAGATTATGGGGGCTAGGTATTTAGTTCAGTGGCATAAGCACTTGCCTGACAAGCATGAGGTCATGAGTTCAATCCTTGGCCCCAAAAAATTTTTTTAAAAAATCAAAAAATAAGGATGACCTTGTTTGTTTTAGTAAATTTGTGTTAGGCTCACTGAGACATGACATAAGTGCTTTCTAAAAAAAATGTGACAGGTGTAGGGCAACACACAAATGCAGACTGTGATGAGATGCCTGCAGAACATGTGTGGAGCTGCCCAATTGGAATTATCTGGAGACACCGTTGGCAGCCATGCCCTTGGCTGTCTATAGGTAAAGAAGGATCAATGCCTATCCAGGATGCAACATAGATAGTAACACTATGAAATCAGTCAGAAAGTGAGCCTGACACTAAAGTAAAATCTGACATAGTCTAAAGGTAAAAGCTGAAACAGTACAGCTTTAGAAAGAAAAATGTTTTATGATCTTGGGATAGGTAAGTATTTCTTGGAATACAGAACACCTTAATCCTTAAAAGAAAAATGGTAAGTTGGACTTAATAAAATTAAAAACCTCTGCTGACAACAACAAAAGCAGCGTTGAGGGGAACAAGTTCCCCCTACAGTTGTGAGACAGAAGTGTCCTGGCACTTTCCATCGGCTGTCTGGCCACGAGATTGAGTAGAGGAATACGGGGAGGGGCAAACAACCAAGCCACAGAGTGAGAGAAATTATTCACAAAACAGCTCTCTGACAGAGAATTTATATTCAGAGTAAGTTTTAGAACTCTTATAACTCAATAATAAAAATACAGATAATTCAATTTGTAATGAATGAAGTAGTCCTCCAATAATTGAGCCTCTCTCAGAATCTAAGCATGTGTAATAAATTCTAGAGACAGAGCTGCTTACCAGTCTCTGACCCCTGACCTACATTCTTGTCCAGGGAAAGATACGTAAGCATACAATACCCGTATGTCAGTGTCCTCTAGCCACTTCTTCACCTCCCGAATGCATTTTTTCTTACCTCTGGTTTGGAAGATCAGGTTTCTCTCTTCTGTGCATTGCATTTACATGTGTGACCCATTAATGGTTTTGTGGGGCAGACCATATAGTCTTATATGTTATTTGTGAATGTCTCTTGGAAGTGATGCTTTAAAGAGAGGGACAATACCTACTGAAGATTGCTGATGGCTATAACGCATAGGCGCTCTTAGAATTAGTGCTATACGTATAAGAAATGTCTCTGTCCTTTTAACCCAGTTCTTTGAATTATGGCCTGGTATCTAGGGGAAACCTAGTACTATGGGTAAGGAGACCACCACCCCTCCTTAAAGAAAAATATTACGTATATATAATGTATACAAATTAGAATGTACAGAGGAAATAAAAAATTAAACCAAAATCACTCAGCAGAAATTAACACGCTTAATTTTTTGTTGTGTTGTGTTTCAAGAGTTTTTCCATGCATTCAGTTTTTTTTTTCCTTTAGAATGTGCCATATTGCTAGGTATGATGGTACATGCCTGTGATCCTGGAATCTCAGGTAGCTGAAGCAGGAGAATCACAAAATCAAGACCAGCCCAGAGAACTCTGGGAGATCGTGTCTCAAAATAAATTTTTTAAAAAGTTGGAAATATAGCTCCCAGATCCAGGGTGGTGGGAGTTGGGGGTGGAGATCATACTGATACAGGGGAATGAAACTCCCAAGCTGCTATATGTTCCTTACAAGATCATGTTCTCTACAATCAAAGAGTGAATCTTAGGAACAACGGAGGTTAAAAGCAGAATATACTTACTGAGAGAAAGAAAGCTTCTGTCTGAGGGAAGAAGGGATTCCTAGCGGGTTGCCAAAGACTCTGTCTTTTCTAGAGACTTTTATAGAGTAAAACCATGGGGTGAGATGGGGAATAGGAACTCACAAGGCCGCTTGGGCTAAGGTGGGACAGAACAGTAAGGTTAACTGCTCAGAGGAACAAATGGGGAAGCGAGTCCCGCAGAAAGCCAGAAAGCAGGCATTCTAACGGAGCAGAGCCTTCGTGTAGGGGTTGGCATGGGGACTCCTGACCTCCTCAGGGTGACAGGGAACTGTTTACAATCCCAGCCCTCAGGGTGTTGGGCGCATTTGTTTGACCTTTTGTTTTAGGCCTGGCCCATGGTAGGAGGTGCCTGTCTCCCACAGGTCTCCCACAGCTGCCAGGTGTCTGGGCTTCTGCTCTGGCTCCTGCAAGGACCCAGCCCTGTCTCACTGCCTCTATTTCTAACTAACTCAGCTGCCTATAACAATACTGCATATGCTATTTATAGTCTGCTAGTTTCAATTTCTATTTTGTGAACATCTTCCCAACTCAGCAGTCATATTAACAGGACTTTATTATTGTTGTTTATTGTTTTGTGATAGGGTCTCACAGGGCTGCCCAGGCTGGCCTCAGACTCCTGGGCGTAAGGAATCCTCCTGCTTCACTGCCCTTAGTGGCTGGAACTGCAAGTGCACGCCTTTCTATCCAGCTAATAGGACATGATTTTAATGATAGTCTGTTCTATATTTTTCATTATTACTGGAATTTTACTGTCACCAAATTTTCAACTTTGTTAATCCTTATAGCATATATATTTGAGTCTAAAGGTTTTTTTGGTGAAAGAAGAGGTGGGAAGGAGAGAAGGGGAAATGTCTCATGTGCCTTATAGCAAAACTTC